TACACCGGCTACCCGATGTTCATGCCCTACCGGCCGCTCGTGCTGCCGCAGGCGCTGGCCCCTGCGCCGCTGCCCGCGGGCCTCCCACCCCTCGCCCCGCTGGCCTCCTTTGCCGGCCGCCTTACCAACACCTTCTGCGCGGGGCTGGGCCAGGCCGTGCCCTCGATGGTGGCGCTGACCACCGCACTGCCCAGCTTCGCGGAGCCTCCCGACGCCTTCTACGGGCCCCCGGAGCTTGCTGCTTCCGCCGCCGCCACTGCCGCCCGAAACAACCCGGAGCCGGGCGGCCGACGCCCGGAGGGCGGGCTGGAAGCCGACGAGCTGCTGCCCGCCCGGGAGAAAGTGGCGGAGCCCCCACCGCCGCCGCCTGCGCACTTCTCAGAGACTTTCCCAAGTCTGCCGGGTAAGTGCTGGGGCCGACCCGGGCGCCGGGCGGGAGGCTCGGTCCCTGGAAGTCCCAGACAGCAGCCTTCGGGCTCAGAACCTCGGCACCTGCCCAGAGTCCCGGAATCCCAGACCCCCGGATGGCAGGTTCTGCGGAACCACCTCCGATTCCGTTCCAAACACGGCGCCTCGAGCTCCCAGAACCGCGCCCTGCTCCGTCTCCAGAGCTCTCCAAGCCTCACCGAAGACTTCCTCGCACTCCCTTCCAAATTAGTGCCTCCCCTCCCAGCAGGCCAGCCCTCAAGGCCCGGCCCTCCCCCGTCTCTTTCCAGAACCCCTTCATTTTTCTCATCTTCCGGGAATAGAGAAGCTGCAAGTGTGGGATTCCTGGGGACAGCAGCGGGACCTCAGGGTGAGGGTACATTGGGGCAACTGTCAGTTCAGTAAGTGAGGGCACCTTCTGGCTTCTGAGAAGGTTGTCCTGACCCCAAATGGGCCCTGTTAAGGCAGGGGGCGAAGGGGGGGTCTTAAAACGGTGGTGACCATGTTGGTGGCCTGTCTTCGTCTTAGTAATAGAGGTCACTTCTGAATTGGCAGATTTAGAGCTAAGCCTTAAAGAACCGAGTAGCGAGTAGCGGCCTAAGGAAACCTTAGCTGGCAGGGGGCCTATGACCTGCTGGTCGCAGGCTGACTGGGAGGCCAAGAGAGGGGCTCAAGCCTGGGCTGGTTTGGGTGTGGCCCAAAGGCCTGCAGTCAAGAATTCAGCTAAGATTCTGGAACCAGTGAGATTCAGCTGAGAGCTAAGGCAGGACCCCTGGATCCTCCATGGGAGGGTGCCCTCTGGGTAGAGGCAGGGTACATTAAACCGAACCCTGCTTAGAAGCAATCTACTCAGAGCCCTCCTGGCTTCCTTTTTTATTGGTCCTTAACTCCTGGAAGCCAGAAAAGCTTTTCCCTATCCAGGGGCAGATCCAGGTATGCTGACATCCGAAGCTTACACAATTTAGTGGGCCTTATTTAAGAAAAAGAGGGCCCGCATGCAAGTGTAGGATTCCTAAAGCTTAAACTTTTTTAACATTGGGATGGATCTTTTTCTGCTTAATTGTTCGTTGCATCCAGCTTAGCAGGTGGAAGTGACCCCAAGAGACCTGGGGGCTGACTCTAGTGGAAACAAGCAGGAGAGTCAATAGTCTTTTTGTCCTTTGCCAGGAGAAGGCAATTCCTGACGATAGGTTTCTGGGCCTTTCCTTGAAATTGACCAAAGGGCTAATCACTCTTCCAGACCCCAAGGACTCTCACAGAGCCTGTCTTCCTCTCCTATTCCTCTTTAGTTTCATGCATTTTGGCTTTGGGTATTCAGCTATTGGTTTATTTTTTGTTTTTTGGTATGTATATATATATGTTTTTTGTACCTGGTTAGACCAGGAAGATCCAGCGACCGGAGTCTGAGCAGCATCTCCTCAGAGGATCAAAAGGAAATGATAGGGCAGCACCTGGAAGGTGGGAGGAAGTATCCACAAGATGAAAGGGCCCAGGGAGGGGAGGGGAGGGGCGAGCAGCTGGCAGGATGATTGGAAGAAGAAAGGATCAGAAGGATTTTTGGAATAGGATAGTCCTAAGGCAGAAAAGGGCATAAACTAGGCCATCAGAGGGATGGCTTCGGCGGTCATAGGGGCTGGAAGAACCAGGCACACCTGAGGAAGAGGTGAGCTGAGTGGGAGGACAGAGGAAGATACCCCAGCGGAGGGGGACTGACGGGGGAATATGCCCAAACCACGGAAAAACGAGCACCTCGTCCTGTTCCTTCGGGTTCCCCCGTTCTCATTTTAACCCATTGGTAAAATGGGGGCTCTTTTCTGAAGCAGATAGAATATTGGCTGTAAGACCAGACATTGAGAGAGAAAGGAATAAGCAGAGGAAAAGAACAGGAGAGAAATACTGAAGAAAGAAAAATAAAGGAAAAGATCAACAAATGAGCTGTGCACCCAGATCATCCAGAGAGAGACTGAGAAAGGAGAGAGCTGTCTATTGGAAGAGAAACGTACCAGGGATTTTTAGCCTAAGTGAAATGAAAAGGGAACAGTATCTCTGGATCAGACGTGTGTGTGTGTGTGTGTGTGTGTGTGTGTGTGTGTGTGTGGAGTTCCGTCTTGAGAGAGCTAAATAAATATACTAGTAGGGAATGGAAAAGTTTCAACACTAGGAGTGATTTTTTAAAAGGTTTTTCAGTACTGGGAGTGATGGGAATTTATATATGTAGCATGATGAAGGAAAGGTCATCTGAGGAAATTCTTGGAAGCAAAAAAAAAAAAGAATACTTGGAGTAAAGACAAGGAATTTCTTTGCTAAGAATGATGGGAAGGAGACCTTACAGAGGAAGAACTTTGAGAGGTGCCGGAGTGGAGGTAATCATTCGTACTGGGGAAGGGTGCACATCAAGAGTTTATAGTGGGGCTTCTGGTGCAGACCAGTAAAGAGAGATTTCAGAAGAAACATTCCAAGGGAATAAGGAATGGGAGATCTTATCTGCGACTGCTCCTTATCGCTCTCGATACAAACTCTCCCAACTGTTCCTCACCATGCCATTCACGTCCACCTTCCCAGGCCTGATTTCCCCACCCCACCCCCAAAGTAGTTAAAAGAAATGGAAATGCCCAAAATGTTGGGCATAAGATCAGTTTGGAGAGTGATGGCTTGTGGCCTATGCTGAAAATGGTGGGAAAATGAGTACTCCATTTTGAAAATCGTATTAGAATATTTGGCGTGAAATCAGAGAGTTCTTTGCTCAGATAATGGGATCGAAACCTCAGCGTTAGAAGAAAGAATGCTATCTTTAAAATGACAGGAGGCACTGCTGTCCTGGTATGAATGGGTGACATCGGTCTGAGATTGTTTACACTTGCTTAGTGTCTTACAGCTACTAGCCCCTTTTAATGAAATTATAGTGAAGACAGGCCAATTTGGAGAATGACGAGTGAAGTTCTTTTTCTTGGGAATTATAAGGACTATTTTTTAAAAAGTTAAGACAGATGCCACCCTACTAGAACTGATGAAGAAGGAAACAGAACTTTATTATGATTCGATTGCAGGGCTAGAAGCTGTGTGAGTAGGCACAAAGAACTACTATGTACAGAAATAACGGGGTAGAGAAGGTATCGAGAGTGGGAGATTGAGAATCATTCTAGGTTTGGAGTGGAGGGGCAGTAAGTATAATTGGGGAAGGTATCTCAGCAGGAGCGATAAAAGACTTTTGAATTAGAGAAGATTTAAAAGTATGAACCAACAGAAGAGTCCAGAGTAGTGCTGTCCAGCAAGCCATTTATGTAATTAAAATTTTTTAATAGCCACATTGAAAAGTAAAAAGAAACAGGTGAAATTAAATATTTTCTTTAACCCGACATGTCCAAAATATCCTTTCAGCAGTAATCGATATAAAAATGTTTCATGAAATGTTTCACATCCTCTTGTCATACCAAGGCTTTGAAATTCAGTGTGCATTTTACACCTCCGGCACCACTCGGTTCAGACTAGCCATCGTCGAGGTGTTCAGCAGCCTAATGTGGCCAGCGGTGACCACGTGCAACATGACGGATCTCGAGGGTTGTAAGAACAGAGTCAGGCGAAAGTGCTGGGGAAGGGAGCTTTGAAGGGAGCTTTGACAGTGAAATCCTCAGTGTTAGGAATAATGGAGAGAGGAGAGCAGTGAGCCCTGAACGTCAGGGAAAAAGAGAATTCTGCTTCTGGTGGGATGTGCAGAGACGATCGCGTGTGTGAAGGTGTGCGTGAGCTCTGAGAGCGATCGAAGCTCACTCGAAGATGTGGTGCAAATACACATCACACAGACGGAGGGAGAAGAGGGTGCTGTGTGCTGGGGAATGATGAAAAGCGCTGTCTGTCTGGAGAAATGCAGGAGAAAACTTTGAATGGGGAGGTGTCTTGAGCAGTGACTCATTCAGGGAGGAAAGGGTTGGTCGCCTGAAAACAAATGTTTAAGAAGCGAGGGATGATAGACAGCTCCGTATGTAATTGCTGAGTGATAAAAATGTAGTGAAGGGTTGGTATGGAAGACAATGCCAGGTGAGTATGGTGCAGAAATGAAAGCATTTGTAGTTGAGACGGTACAAAGAAGAGGATACGATGGGACGGACCGGAGAGAAGGCGACGTAGTGAACATCATTTTAAAAACCGGAAGAAGATTTGCCAATTTCTGAACAGAGAGTGGCGATGATCATGAAAATCATGCCAGAGGACCAGGGCAACGTCCTAGGAGCGGATTTGCGTACTGATTGCTATAAGCTAAGCGTCAGATTGTAGCTAGAGACCATTTTAGATGACCGTCGGTGAATTTCCAAATAGGTATCTATCAAGACTGTCACATATATTTACTTACGAGAGAAAAACAGGAAATGATTATGTGATGTGGAATCAGAGGTTTCTGTTGTCGGAAACAGGAGATTTTTCTGGGAAGTGATGGAGATCCAGAGTTTATTTTTCTAAAAATTTTGAGGGAGAGCATACAGTGACAGCGATCGCGCCACTGACTTTTATGAAAGATAAATATTGCATTAACTTAACGTGAGTGAAGCAGCATTTATTTAGGAGTCACGATACCTGGGTTCGGGTCTCAACTTTAGGGTTCAAGTCACTCATTAGCTGTGCAACTGTGGCAAGTCAGTTATTTCAATTCAGGGAACTTTTACTGTGTGTCTCTCATGGGCTTAGTATGTTCAAAACACTACGGGAGATTCAAAGTCTTGTCACTTCTCCAGGTTTCAGTTTCCTCATTGGCAACATAAAAGTTTCGGTTCAGATGATTTTTAACGTTCTTTTCAATTCCGTTGAATAAAAGCTTATTTTTATAGCCTCTGTGATTAAAGTAGGGTTTTTGATACGGACTCCTCACACCTCTGGCGAGGGGGTCTGTTAATTTTGGGTGGAGGGAAACTACATCTTTATTAACTACTCACTAAAATTTGCCACTTCCTATAATTATAAATGTAGGCGCCGAATCTGCTGTGGTTCCTGATTACCTGAGATTTTGTCACTAGAAATCACAGATATTTTCGTATAAATTTCCAGTCTCTAGAGGCATAAAGCATCTTTTTGTTTAATGAATTAATGAAGAAACATAATTATATCACACATTCATTTTTAATATGTGATACCTATATTTTTATAGAATTGGCTTCAAATGTAATCCTATGTGTTTTAAGTTAAACACCTAAGAGCATTATTCTGAGAAGGAGTTTATAGGCTTTTCAGATTGCCAAGGAGTTCATGGCATCAAAAAGGTTAAAGACCCGTGGTTGAGAGAGAGAGAGAGAGAGAGAGAGAGAGAGAGAGATCTCAGAAATGACAAGAGGAAAATGTATTAGGAGGATTGGACTGGAATTCTGAGATGCCTTTTACCGTCGTGCAGGTAACACCGGGGGAGGGATGGAAGAGAGTCTCTGCGGTGGCATGTGTAAATGTGCAGATATGTATTCTAAATGATTAGGATTGTGCTAGAATCGTGGGGGTGAACGGTCTACACCGGGAATAATGGGAGAGAGGCAGACACTGGAATAGTGGGGGGAAATGTTTAATTGGAAAGAAGGAAGAACACAATATGAGCAGCACTTTGCCCCGAGAGTGAAGTTACAGGGGGAAGCGACAGGCAAGAGCTTTGCCTTGGAAGCGCTGGGGAAGGGGGCATCTTTGCGGTGAAACTGGGAATTAAGAAATAGGAATGAGAATTAAGAAATAGGAATGCAGTAGATGTACAAAAAGGGAGACGCTGGAGTAGGGATGATAAGAAGGAGAGTTTGGGGAGAGCGCGGTTATCGAGAGCAGGGGTCCCAACCGGTACCGGTCCTTGGCCCGTCAGGAACCGGGCCGCACAGCAGGAGGCGGCGGAGCAAGCCAGCCAGTCCCTGGTGCCGAAGAGGTTGGGGACCGCTGGTCCAGCGGGAATGGGGAGGTGCCCCCTGCTGGGGTCGGGGAGAAGGAAGCCTGGATGGGAACCCTTGGAAAGGGCAGAGCGCTCCGTGAAGCTGGTGGTGCCACCTGCAGCGGCCGGGGTGGGGACGAAAGAGGCCTGGATGGAGAGGCCTGGCTGTGATGGAGAGGCTGGGCTGTCTCGGTGGGC